CCTCGTGCCGTAAATCTTTTGAGCTTTCGTTCTAGTTCTTTGCTTAGCTTGATGTCTGATTTCTGATCCCCTCTTTGTTCTGTGCTTGCGAGTTTTAGGAGGATCATGATGGAGGCACGGCGGAAGCGTAGCAACAGATCTAGGGTTTCAGACTTTGAAACCCATATCTCAATAAAGGCAGCTTCTTCTACTCCTTTTACTTCTCTAGAACTTTTTATTTTTTCTCCTTTTGTTCTTAGATCTTAGGGGTTTTATATTGTTTAGATTAGAGATAAATTAGGAAAATTATATATGATTGTCGTTACGAATTAGGAGATTGATAGAATTAGGTTAAGATATTATTTGTATTGGATTTGGTTGTATTTCGGACGATTCATAGGTTCAATCAATAAACTTAATTTTGTAAATATTCTATTCGATTTGTTTCTAAGGATTTGATTCAGTTATTGATTCATTTTTTAGTTTCGATGTTTCTGGGCCGAGCAAGGTGAAGAACAGGGGACTACGCCGTTGCAGGATGCAAAATTAGGGTTTCAAAACCCTCAGTTAACTTAGTTAACCACGTCCAAAATTTGTTTCTAAAATAAAATAATTATTTTATAAAATAAAAAATATAATATTATTATTTGTTACATAATATAACTAATAATAAAAAAGTAAAATAATCAGAGTCTAATGTTGACTTTAGCCAACAATTTCTCCAAACTAAGCTCAGCACTCTAATGGGCTAATCTGCTGCAAACTAAAGCAATAATTGTACATCCCCTTTGCCAACTAACGAGCTTTCGACTGTAATGGGCCAGTCTGATAAAAAAATAATGTAACCCACCAAAGATATATTCCTCTCTTATTTTTTAACGGGCCTCAAAATAACTTAATGGGCTATCAATTCTAAACACACATCTTTTCATTATTGTTCAAAATGAGTCGCAAACCCTTAGTGGACCATCAGACTTTGATGGTCCACTTGAAGCAACACGCCCCTATTTTATAAAAATGCACCTCCCTCCTCTTATTATTTGAAGTAAATAAAATCCTTAGTGGGCCATCAGATTTTGATGGTCCATTCTGAAACAAACACCCCTCTTATGAGTTTAAAACTCCTTCATAACAATAATATTAAAAAAATAAAATAGTTGGACAGTACGATTAGAGATAGTAACATTAAAAAAAAATATGACCATTGAAATTGATGGGGCCGATTTGAGGTATGACACAAGATATCTTGAGAAACTCTCTCATTAAAGGGAATGATGTCACAACTTCGAATCGCAAAAGTTGGATCAACCTTCTCTAGAGGGATAAAACCATGAAACAATCTTTAACCTCAAACTTCCATGAAGTTCCAGGACTGTCGGGACCATCACAGTCGTTAAAATATTATCTTGATCAAAGACCATCAAGACTACCATGCATCATCTTGATCAAACATCATCAAGTCCATCTTTGGTATGCTCTAAGGTATACTAATTATTTATATGGCTTCTTTAAATTTGCAATCAAACTCGTTAAAGTAGTAAAGTATTCCCACAAAACAAATTAATTTTTCATCTTTGATACCCAAATATTTTTGGGTCCTAATGCGTTGTGACTTTAAGAGGTTTAGAGTTATTTCCTTTAGAACATCTTAATTTATTTAAGTTTGTATAACAATAAAATTCTAAATGACCAAACTTATTACTGAAATTGCATTTGAAAGCAAAATGATTATATTTCTTCCTAGCATATGATAGATATTAATAAATAACCTAGGGTTAAATATGTTTCTAACTCCTCTAAGTATTTAAATTTCACTAAATCCTAAAAAAAAAATCTTCAAAGAACGATTCTCCTAATTTTTCTCTCAACACATTTTGCCCCTCCTGCTAACGTCCGTTAACAGAGTTGATGTGGCAGTGCTAGCGTGACAAAGATGTTGACATGACAATGCTAGCGTCCCCATTTTATGTTATTTATATAAATTTAATTTATAGCGACAGATATTTTGTCGCTAAATTCGTCACTAACATGAACATCATATAAAAATTCAAAAACCATAGTTAATCCAAAGCTAATTCAAACACATCATTCTTATTACCTAGACTTCGTTATTTTAAATTATTTTTGCAAGAAATTATCATACTATAAGGATCTCTCACAAAAATTTAAATTATTTTGACTTGAGATGAATCAAATATGGAGTTTTTACGAGCCAATTTTCTATGAAACGGATACAATTTTCTATGAAACACACCAAGAAAAACATTAGCATATAGTTGAGTTTTAAGTTATTATTTTGTAGAAACATATCTCATATCTGCAAACTTTCATTGTATTTCGAATAAATCTCAATTTATTTTGATTTTTTTATCGAAACACATATGTCAAAAGGCCATAACTTTATTAATATTTTAGAACTGATGTTCTTGACTACAGCAATTCTAAATTTATTTTATAATTATTTTATTACAGAAAGTGGTCACCTCAACATTCTATTGCATGATCTTACTGAGATTGTGGTTGAGATTGAGGCTGAACCAACGGGCCACGGTTTCCATTAGACTTAATTTGAGCAACCTCACTATGGCGAAGTCCGAAAACATTTGCAAGAACCTCAGCAGGAGTGGCCCTAAACACCTGATTTACATGGCTAACAGCAGCTCTATCATTTGTCTTGAACACTACATACTCAAAAGCTTCTTCATTTCCTGCTTGTTGGGCTACCACAAAGTTCTGTGGTACCACCACCAATTGTCCCTTTCTCACCTTATCATCAAACACTGGATTTCCTTGACTGTTTACTATTCTGACTCTTCCTTCTCCTCTAATCACGTACAAGAGGCTGTTGGCGTTCATGTTCCAGTGTGGAGCATATATACCATTCTGCATATACATACATACATACATAGAAATATACACATTAACTATATTATGGAAATATAGACATTGGTTAAATAATTAGTACTATATACATACCCTGTACAGAAGAACATATTCGGCACTGAGGCGTAAATTGCGGAGGATTGGAAGGGTTAAACTGTTGACAGTGCTGATGCGGCCGGCACGTGAGTTGTAAAGATCAGCACGTGAAGGGCGAGCAATGTTCTCACGAATCTTTGAACTGCAAATAGTTTCTTCCAAACCATTCTTTCCTCCTTTGCTGTGTTGACGTTGTATTTCTTCCTCTTCCTCCTCTTTCTTTTCTTGTTCTTGTTTTTCTTCTCCTCGTCCGTGTGATTCTCGTTTCTTCTCTTCGGTGTGTTTTTTCCACTTTCTACTCTCATAGCTGCGAGGTTCATCCTCATCCTCCTCTTCTTTTTTGCTATGTTTGCCGTGTCTTTGTTCTTGTTCTTCTTTCTCATCCTCATCCTCGTCTTCTTTTTCACTATCTTTGCGGTGTCTTTGTTCTCGTTCTTCTTCCTCTTCCTCTTCTCCTTGACTGTGACTTTGTTGTTCTTCTTCTTGCAACTCAGGACTGATAATGTCAAGACCGTTCTCTACTTTTACGATTTGACCCCTTTGGTCCCGTGGAGATCGAAGTCTCTTGGCTGTATCCTCTTTAGTGTTGAGTGAATGTCCTAAAAACTCTGCGCTGAAGCCACTCAGCACGCTCTTACCTTCGTTTTGTTCCTCGGATTCCTCTTCTTGTTGTTGCTGTCCACCTCTACGTCCAATAGGGGAACTGTGCCTTTGTTGATGTTGTTCCTGTGTTTCGGGGAATTCTGCCTCTGGGTTTCCGCCTATGTAAAATAACTGCAAACACATACATGTGATTAATTGAATAGAAAATATTATACGTTAGAAAAGTATATCAAAATTTGGATAATGTAACGTATAGTTATACAATTACTTACTCTGGGGGTTGAATCGAGCTGGTTTAGAGTGTTGGAAGTGTCGAGAAGACTAATGGCAACAAGAGGTTCATCACCATAGTTATAGGTCCAGTAAGGAATTCCAGGTGGAATGGCAATGACATCACCTTTAGAGAAGCGCCGAATCTTCTGGTGGCTGTCACGTTGTTGTTGCTGCTGTCTAGATTGTGAGCGTGGTTCTTCGTAAGTTTCAGGACAACCAGGAACTGCAAGGCCAAGTACTCCCTTCCCTATATAGAAGAAAAAACACGAACCAGTTAAAAAACAATTCAATGAATGCAAATAATGAATATTTGATTATATAATAACCTTGAATGATGAAAATCAACTGTGGAGATGGTGAATAGGAAGGCAAGTGAAGGCCATTAGGATCAATGGTGCGTCGAATAAGTGATACACCAGCACATTGTAGTTCAGGGTGATTTGGATTCCATGTTTCAGTGAGACCAGCTTCTGACTCAACACGGTGATCTGGTTCCAATGCATTGATACTGTCAAGCTGGCATTTGTTGAACCTGTCTAATTCAGAGTGATGTGCTAAACACGCGGTCGTGAAGAGCAGCAAGCAGAAGGAAAATAGAAAGTGTTTGGCCATTGTGATTACTAATGAGATTGATGAAGCCAAGAACCTGCGGTATGGTTATTTATAGGGATGGAGGAGGGACACGTAAGGGTGACATTCTTCACCATGCATGGTTTCCAGTTCCTAATTGCTTACACCTCTCAAATGATGATGATGATATATATGTTCACAGTGACAGCACATAATGAATATTTGCTGCTATCCTTACCTCTCAAATGGTCCCCTTGCACTCTGCCTCTATTCTTTACATATCATTAATAAAATTCAATTTCACTCTTGAATTTTAATTTAACAGAAGATGTACATTTGGATAGATAAAGTAAAAACTCAAAAACTCTATTTAAAACACATGATCACCCAAAATTGTCATGTCTGTATTTCTGTTTCCTTTGAATTGGTTCTAATTTTTTACATCATTATCCTTATAAGGGAAAAAAAAAAAAACATCATCAAGTTACTAGGATTGTAAATGCACTACATACTAATTTCTATTCAAAACTATAAACTGTTGGACAACTGAAAAGATATGTGTAAATCATAATACAAGCTTGGACCAAATAAAATAGCTACCATTTCAAACTAATGGCTAAATCTAGCAGAGCTTCTACTTGACGTATAGTTTGTTGCTTCTCTTGTTGTTTTAATCTATTTACAACTGATTCAGCATCAAACTCTTGTTCATTTTCTTCTTCATCCTGTTCCGAACGAACCTCTTGCAGCAATTCATCCACCTCCCTTACAAAATCCACCCTCAAAAGAGTATTATCATCGATATCAAGTGATGGTCGCCATGGCCCGTGATGCTGATATCATTTAAGATTGGAAACAGAAGAATTAGAGATTGATTTCAAACGGATATGAACTCTAATCTGCAATCTTTAGCTTAGATGGTATTTGCACCATCTTACTTTTAACCAAACTTATGTACAAAAAATAACTAATCAAGTTTAATCACTGAATAGTATCAATCTACATGTACATGAAATTGAATCAAGTTTAACAAACTTCCGCATTGGTTGGTTTCAATTATTACTATGAACTTATTTTTTTGTTAACCATTAATCAATTGGTTATTTGAATACTCCTATAGATTTGGTAATCAATGGTATTAAAACATCCAATTGTATTTAGAATCCACCTCAACCATATAGTTATTATAGAGAGGTATCAGTTGACTTATCTAAGCTCTTTAATTTGGTGCAACTTACCTTATCTATGTCAAATGACTCAAATCCAGGTGGAACAAGAATGCTATATGGATCCTCCCTTGGAAATGTATCAGTCATGATCTTTTTACATTTATTTAGCCACTCGTCGAAATTAAAGCCATCATACATAATCAAAAGATCATTGAGCAATCTCATTGCAGGGGTAGCTTCTCGCTTCAAGATCTCAGTCTACATCCGATATAGAAAAATAAACTCAGAACAGAAACAAAAGAAATATCAAGATTGAGCTATTCATAATATGATAGAATTGTTCCAAATAGAAGCCAATAAGAAAGGAAAAGGTCTAAAACATCCAATGTTCTTAAATAATGGAAAACAAATAAAGTTTATGTTTTTGCATTAAAAAATACTATTCAAGGAAACAACTAAGTCACTAGAATAACTGATAATGCAAGGAGCACTTTCTTAAAAGTGATGCACACAACAGAAAAATGGTCCTTGCAAGGCACTAAAAAGCGAGTTGAGTCAATCGTGTAATGCAAAACTTCTATATCATGACTGCAAGTAATTGAAACAATGCAGTGTGAAACTTTAGTTTAACAGCTTATGCCATTGCCTCCGGTTCACAGCTTATGCCATTTGTCACCATCAAAGTGTGTGTGCAGTGAGGGGGAGCCAAGGTAAGTTTTTCAGTGAAACAAAAGCGGGAACTTCAAATTAAAAGAGCATGAGTATAGATAGCCATAAACAAAAGGGGGCAGTTATTACCTCAACCCTTCTGTATAACAGGTCCAGACTTCTTATAGCATCCTTTTCCTCCTGTAAATAGGTGACAAGATAATGTATAAAACAATATAGTGAAAGAAATATGACAAAAATATTATACAGACTTTTTATGTAAACACGAGAAATTCTGAGATTCAATCCTAACAATCCCTTTCAAATTATAATAACCATATCCAAGATAGAAGGATGCAAAGGAGAAAACAAAACCACTCTTTGTTTAGTATTTCTATCATAATAATAAGCTATTTGGATTATATTGTCAGAATCCCAATTTCGGTATAAAACCCTGCCAAGTTACAAGGTTTAAAATTACTAAAGAGTGAAGGACTGTGCGACGACATTCTACTCGTTGTAGCTGAGTTAGGTTTTAGCTCATTGGAGACTTAATGCTATGGGGTTGAGACTCAATACACCATCCTTACCTACTTTGCAGATGGATTCACGTTGAGAGTTTAGATGCATATTAGAGTTGAGTGTTATAGCTTATAACTATGAAGTTAATGTTGCGTGCACTGAGTAGCCTTATCATCCAGCTGCTGTGTTTTGGATTTTTTTTAAATAAAAATACTTAACTACCACCTATCACTTTATGCGTATATGGGGAAATAACCAGTATCAGAGTCTATCAGAGTTTAGACAAAAAAACAATTATGCAAGTTCACTCAATTTTGATACCTAAAGTTGTAAACTTGTGATCCTATAACTTAACTCAAAAATTTGACAACCACAGAATATTTCAAACACCAAAAAAACAACTTACATCACGTCGAGCAAGATCAAGGCGATTCCATATGACCATCAAAACAAGTTCAGTAAGTTCTCCTCTTTCAGCAGCTTCCTCAATTTTCTACAAAAAAACAAGAAGTCTGTAAGGTTGAATATTCATGCAATGTCAGAGACCCTTCAAAAAAAACTTATCAATGAAAAAAAAAATGCACAAAACTCCATAAACAAATGAAAGGAAAAAAGGCTTATACCACCTTGAATTAAAATATGTTTTATTTATAATATTACTCTTTTTTATAAGCACAAAGGATACACAGGTAAATTAAATCACTTTGACTTGATTTTACATAATTGGAAAGTGAGGAGAAATTTACGCCAAAAACATGTTAAGGGTATCATGATGTGGACCATGTTAGAAATCACTTTTACTTAATTTTGTTTCCTTTTTTCTTGTTTTTCCCTATTTACACTTTTTTAATTGTGAGCTACATCACTACTTCTTTGAATTCCTTACTGTAGTTACAGTGACCAAGGATGTCATTTCCAGTAAAATTAGGATTATGATGCTCATCAGAAAAGTAAAATGACCCCTCATTTGGTCTAAATAATCATTACATGATCCGGGTTGTTTAAACATCATTTTATCAAGGTAAGCCTATCCATTGTCACAACATGCAAAATCAATTTAATGAGGAATAAACTAATCAGGTGTACATTTATTATAATTTTAAGATGAAAACTTCAAGTTGAAATATTTTATATGCATGGCAATCAGGAAATTGAATGGCATCACCAAGAAGCTACCTCTTCTACTTCTTCAACGGCTCTTATGAAGCTTGAAACCAATTTCTTTGCTTTTATAACATCCTCTTCAGGGTATTCTTTCAGCCGCATGCCAACTTCACGATACTCGTCAATCTTTCTCTCTTCTTCCTCTTCTTCTTCTCTGCGTCTTCGATGCAACTCCTTGGTCTTTTCACGTTGTTGGGCTTGCCATTCCTATGCTAGAGATGGTTAATGAAATCTATCCAAATAAAACCTTCCAAGAAATTTGGTTTCACAAGCTAGCATACATGCACACCAAGAGATACACTAATACCACAATGCTTTTACAATTATAATTCTTCGGCCAAAAAATAAAAGTGTCCACTCACTCCCAAGTCATAGAATGTGTAGGTTGGACCTAATTCATCCCTACAAAACTGGCTTGTAGCTTGTAAGGTGGGGATTGTCATCACTTATAAACACAACATAGGTCGTATCTCTAGCCAAATGCTGTAGTTTAGGCGACTAGGGGTGAGCTGCAATTTAGGCGACTAGGGACAGACCGCAATGAAGGCGGAAATTCCAACACACACCCTCACGCTCGGGCCTCAATGAGACCAAAGCATGGACGATGCGGGAAGCCCAACAAGTGATCTAGGATAGGCTCTAGTACCGTCTTAAAACGTGTGAGTTGGGCCTAACTCATCCCTACAAAATCGACTTGTAAGGTGAGGATTGGTCCCATTTATAAACACAACATAGACCGTATCGCAAAGTAATATTACTAAACAATGTGGGACTAAATCTACCCCTTCAAACCAAACACAATGAAGGTGTTGGAAACTGCAACGAAGGCAAGTCAAATGTCACAATTTAAGCGACTAGGGGCGGACGGCAATGAAGGTGGAAATTCCAACACCAAGCATTTAAGATATAATAATAATATACATTTTGCCTTAAACATATTCTGCCAAGGTTATTAGTAGAAGCCCAGCCTAATTGGCTGACAAAACAAGAATTCAAGTTTGAGTCAAGCTAAGCATTGTTCCTTCAAAGAACTAAAACAGGGTAATTCAAAAAAAAAAAATGAAGAAGAAATAGTAACAAGCCGGCACAGCGACACCAAAAAACAAAATATATAGATAGTACTAAACAAACACAATTAAAGAGCTTTGAATTCACAATAGTCACAAGTGACAACCCTTTTTAGGCCTCCTTTGTATAAAGAATCTAGTAAGTGTTTAGGTCTCCTTTTAGACCTGTTTGAATTGACTTATTTGAACTTTGGCATAAGCTTTATAGACTGTTTGGGAGAGATTACCAAAACAGCTTACGACATTTTTCAACAATTTTAACTTATTTTTATAAGTTCTCCAAGGTAGCTTATAAAAACAACTTATAGCATAAAAAAAAAACAATTTAAATTTTTTTATCTTTTGTTATAAAAATAGCTTATGCAAACGCTTATTTTAATAAACACTTGAGCTATATAAGCTGCAAATAAGCTATTTATCCAGAAATTGTTTTCACATAAGTTAATTCCAACAGCCCCCTAAGAATGGATAAATAAGCAATAAGTGAAAAGCAGAAATGATAAGAAGGCATACATCATCATAATAGTGAGAAGGCATCCCTTCTAGAAGCACCTCTTCCTTTTCCTTATTCACACATCTTCTTAAACCTATCACCAAAAATCAATTTTGAGAGAGAGACAGTGAGTGCGTGATGGAATTATAAGGGGGGAAGAGACTAACCTGCGCTGGATGTGCACTTGTATGAAGAAGCTCTTGTTACAACAATGGATGAAGAAGAAACGGGAAGGAAGAAGATAGAAGTGGATGTTATAGTGAGGAGATTCATCAACTCGGCTGAGTGAGTTAAACCCTTTTTTGACTTCGCTCACTGAGTCGAAAAGGCATCAACTCGTGGTAGAGGGTTTAAGACAAAGGAATGAGTTATCTGATAGCAAACAAAGAGCGAATGGATTATCTTAAATTTTACCTGATCTTTGTGTTACAAATTATGGGATTTTTAATTTTATAACTTTTTTATAAAATAAGATTTCTTATCGTATTTTTGAATAAGTCACGTTATATTCAAATTACATACTCCTTTTATATTTTTGTAAGAACATTTTCTACTAGTAATTATGAATATTCCTCCTCTTCTTCTTTTTTTTATATCATTTTAAAATGTGTGTAAAGTATAAAGAGTATTTCTATCCGATTTCAATCTTAAAAGATGGTTTGATGAAAAAACAATTTAAGAGTCGCAAAGGTTTAAAATAAAGGTATTTGTGACGGAAATGACGTCAAGAAATAAATAATTTTTATCAAGTAGAAAGTTTTAGAATCTAGAGAGCAGATATGAACATGCCCCTTAAAAAACACCTGACTCGAGCAAGGAGGAAAGAAGAGTTGTCGAATAATAGAATGAATTATATCTTGTTAATTGGCAATATGGACGATCTTGACGGGAACTACAGAATTAGGATTGACAAAAACCCTAATATGATTATTATAAAAATGATAACAATCGTCAAATAGGTACACACAAAAATTTCTTGAAAAGTTTGTACATCTCGTCTCTGACAGCCACTGACTTGAGCGTCATAGTGTGAGTAGGTATTCCCCTCTCTAAAGCAACCAAGATACAAGAAAGAGACCGATCTTCAAGACATCCAAAACATGATCATTTCGAGAAGAAGTTTCCTCTTCGAAAGGAATATTAGCTTCGTTTGTGGGAACGTAAATAATGACCTAACTATTTTTCTTAAAACACTCAAGAGATGGTAAACCATGGAAGAAGACTAGTGTGTAACCTCAACTGCCCTCGATTTGTGGTAAGCGCAGTCGTAAAAATGAACCAGCGTCAAGTAGAAGGCCTCATGTTACATCATTCATTCCGTAAAATCAGATCCAACAACCTCGTGCGCTTGAGGCTCTCGCACCCCCTCCAAGGGACGAGGAAATTTATGCCACATAAGTTTTCCATACATATCTACCCTGACAAGGCATTGACGCAGTTCACGACCAATCCTTAGAAGTCTTAGCAAATAATAAAATGAACATGTTATTGCTCGAACTGCAATAAAATGGCAAGAAGCAAAAGTTAAGTTGGAAGTATTTCGGGTTTTATCGTATCCATATGGATCAGTGCGAGGGATCAAATATCGTTCAATAGTCTCCGTGTTTCTAAGCTTGGTTTGAATGATTTAAAAGTGTAAAGTGTGGAAAGTAAAACATATGAACAAGTAAATAATGCATTCTTTAGAGAGGAGAGAACTCGTCGAAATTGAATTTCATCTACTCATCAAATACTTAAATCTATTGATCAATTGTATGCAACCTAAAACACTCGTCAATATTATCATGTATCCCATACATCAATGTTCATGTATGAAGCACTGGGGACAGTTATATTGTATTGTCTCATCGGTGATGTCTCACGCAACTAAGTAACACAGAGCATTAATAATCAATATCCACAATGAGTATTAGATCTAAATCTATCTCTAGAGTTTATATAACATAATAGATGTTCATCCTAATTCCAGATTTGAAGAGTATATGTCTATAACAACTCAAATCCAAACATAAAGCAAGTAAACAATGATAACATTGATATAGATTTGTAAAATAGATCTTATACAATACCATGATCAATAAATATACATAAAATCAAAGTAAACTTACATACAAAACCCAACAAGAAATAGAACAAAGAGAAGGAGGAAGAAGAACAATCATCTCTCGCGGTGTCACGACGATTGATGCAAATTCAACTCCAGATCTTCCAGATGCAGCCTCAATTGTTGTTTTCTAAGCCTTTTTACTCAAAGAATATGATCACACCTCTAAAATTTGGTGAATAACCTATAAAAAAATTTGGTCCTATTTAAAGAGTTTCTGCTCAGACAAATTCACTCGGAGAATTTGACAACAGTGAGAAAAATCAATTCTTATTTTCACCACAACTCGAGAGCCGTAACCCCGATTTACCCACGGTCAGAAGTGTTGGATAGCTTATCCAATACCCTAACTAAAAATGACTAAATATCATGCTTTTATTAATATTTGAAACATGTGACAATTTTATGATCAATTAAATGTTTAATGTTAAACGGTCTCACCCGACGAACTAGCTGACAGACAGTTTCTTTGCCTCTTTGCTTTGTGCATTCTTTTCCATTGTTTGTGCCTTCTTATTTTAGGTTTGATCCATCACTTTTCTTCACAATAACACACAAATCAAAGATTCTAACACTAAATACTATAAATTCTATCAAAGCTTGGGGAAAACATTAAATGAAAACACAAAATAGAGTTGAAAAGTGTCAAGTTTTATTGCGGAAAAATAGACATATTTGACACTCATCAAACTCTCCCCAACTTAAGACTTTATTTGTCCTTAAACAAAATTCTCACTGACTTAAAGAAACAAAAGCAACTTCTAAAGCATATCATGATCAACAAGCTAAAACAAGGTTCAAAATTTACAAAGAACAAGTAAAATCATGATTATGAAACAAATTCTAAATACAAAACAAATGTCAAACATTCTAAAACAACATATACTCAAAATTAAATCACACCCAGCACACAACTTCGTCAATGGATGGAAGAAAAACAAATGTGAGGAATTTTACTCACACCCAACAATCTTTCTAACAACAGACTAAATTATGCATTCATCTCAAAAATTTGTATTGAAAGTATAAAAGCACAAATCACTAAGGACTTTCAAGGGTTGTAATGTGGCTTGGTTAACAAATAAACATATCTAAAGGTAATTGAAATAAAAAGTTTGCCTAAACAAATGAGAATGGTCACTTCTTAAATTTTCAAGCATTCACAACTTCATTCACCTTTTTCTCTTTTCTCAATTGTTACACCATTTCACACAAGTTATTAGCACAATTATTTGTTATTTACTTTTATTTTTCAAGGCTTTTCTTTTTCATATTTTTCTTTTTTTTTCTCAATATTTTTCTTTTTCTCAACCTCTTAGTAACCAACATTTTCTCTCCATCTTGAATACCACAAAACATTATAATGTGAATGCTCCCAAATTTTCTAAGGCAAAGGTAAAAATTTAAACCACGAGTTATGGTTAAGGGTTCAAGAAAAAAGTTCAGAAACCACTTTAAAATCGACAATGAACTAATTAGTTATGTACAAGTTCCAAAAGTTAACATCAAAATGGATTCTGACACAAGGCTTAAAGGGGGTAAGCAAATTTTCATCCACTCACAAGGTAAGTTATTTTTTGGTCAAGTAGTTGTGCTCAAAATCAAACAAAATGTCTTGATTATTTTAGTGTTTTCATACAAATAAACACAAATACAAGATTGAACATAATAAAACCTAGCTAAAACAAGAATTGTTGGTCTCCCGCACATATAGTGAATAATGAAAAGCTTCCTCACAATTAGGATATGACCTAAAGTGATTAAATCATGAACAAGTAGTGCAAAAGAATGAATGGCATGATATTTGTAAAAATTATATGTTTCATGTTCATGTTATGGTTTAGAAAGCGATAAACATGTACCTTCACAATGTACCAAATTTTCGAGCTTTTATCATTACCACACATTTCGCATGTTGATACATTCGAACTTGGAAAATCCAGTAATTGCGTCCTCAAGTCATTAGAAGAACAAATTTTGAAGACAAACGATAAAAATTGACATTAAAAATTAAATACTACTATTTACTAACTATACTATTAAATGCAAGACTATAAAAACTTATAAAATTGGGTTACCTCTCAATAAACGCTTGTTTTGCATCGTTAGCTCGACACCTTTTATTTGTGCGGCTAGTATTTGTACTTCCAGGTTTTGCTTCTAAACGCCAACAGAAAATAAACTACCTAACCAAACACTTCAACAAACATAACAAAAAATAAAAAAAATATATACAATATACACAAGTATAGAAAACATGTACAAATAAATTATATACATTATAGACAAGTATGAAAAACATGTACAGATATACAAGTATGAAAAGCATAGATAAGTAAGTATACAAGTGTAAATACAATATAGACAATATGTACCAAGCTCAAAAAATATAGAAATTATTGCAATGCTTTCAATATCTAAACACCCCCGACAACAACACCATTTTGTTTGAACTACAGTAAAGCGGCAAGAAGCAAAAGTTAAGTTGGAAGTATTTCGAGTTTTATTGTTTCCACATGGATCGGTGCGAGGGATCAAATGTTGTTCAATAGTCTCCGTGTTTCTAAGCTTTGTTTGAATGATTTAAAATTGTAAAGTGCAGAAAGTAAAACATATGAACAAGTAAATAATTCATTCTTTAGAGACGAAAGAACTCGTCGGAATTGGATTTCATCTACCCATTAAATACTTAAGTCTATTAATCAATTGTACGCAACCTAAAACACTCGTCAATATCATCATGTATCCCTCACATCAATGTCCATGTCTGAGGCACCAATGAGAGTTCTACCGTATTGTCTCGTCGATGATGTCTATAAGAACAAGATTAGTTTTGCATCTAGCTTGAGTTTTAATAATAACTTTACATGGTATCTTAGATAACAATTGTGTACTCTAATGGTTTATGTCTATTGTGTAGATTTTTCTAAACAGGTTTTGACTCTGGTAGAAGATGTGTGACGTCATCAGGTTCTGAAATCAACAATTTGGAAGAATACTTATGGTGTGTTACAAAGTTAAGTCAAGATTATAGAATGCTTCTTATGCAACTATTCTAAGGGACGTTAGTACAAGAGCTTATGATCGTGACTTTACAAGGAAGGTTTAGAGCCCTTCTAAAGCTTTGCTTATGTTGTCTCAAGTTTTAAAGATGCTGAAGACAAGGTTC